ATGTTGGGACTTCTGGTGGTATTGAACTCCTTTTTTTTTTGTTTGCCAGGGAAAGTTCTTAGCGCTCCATTTTTTGTTTGTTTGTTTAATCTTCATTTTTAAAGGGCAGTTTTGATGGATATAGTATTCTTGGTTGGTAGTTGGTAGTTTCTTTTTCTTTCTGGTGGTATCGAACTCTTTTTTTTTTTTTGTTTGCCGGGGAAAGTTCTTAGCTCTCCATTTTTTTTTTTTTTAAATCTTCATTTTTAAAGGGCAGTTTTGATGGATATAGTATTCTTGGTTGGTAGTTTCTTTTTCTTTCTGCACTTTAAGTGAATTATTACACACTTTTCTGGCCTGCAAGCTTTCTACTGAGAAATATACTGATAGTATCATAAGGAGGGGGGTACCCTCTGTTTGATTGGTTGCTTTTCTCCAGCTGCTTTCGTAATTCAGTCTTTGTGAATTTTGACAATTTAGTTAGGTTTCTTGGTGTCCTTGGGAGTCCCGTTTGTGCAACTCCTTTGGGATTCTTTTAAGCTTCATGAATCTGGATGTCTGTTTCTTTTACCAAGTTTAGGAAGTTCTTTGGTATTAATTCTTTAAATTAGCTTTCTATTTCTTTGTGTTTCTCTTACTTATGGGACCTCCATAATGCATGTTTTGACTTAGTTGATGTCAATAAGACCTGTAAGGCTTTCTTTACTCTTTTTTTCTTTTCTCTTCTCTGATTGGATAATTTCAAATGATCTGTCTTTGAGTTCACAGATCTTTTTTCTGCTTGATTGAGTCTGCCTTTGAAGCTCTCTACTGAATTTTTCAGTTCAATCATTATATTCTTCATACCAGATTTTTGTTTGGTTCTTTTTTTATGGTATTTATCTTTGTTTGACTTTTCATTTTGTTCATGTATTATTTTCCTGATTTTGTTGATTATCTCTCTGTTTTCTTGTAGCTTATGGAACTTCTTTAAGATTATTTTCAATTCTTTGTTAGGCAATTCACAGATATTTATATCCTTATAGTCTGCTTTTGGAACTTTTTTTGTTTGTTTCTTTCCGGTGTCATATTTCCCTGATTTCTTTTTGATCCTGGTAGCCTTGATTGGTGTCTGCATATCTAAAGAAATTGTCACTTCTTCCAGTCTTTATGCTCTTGCTTTAGGAGGGAATGACCAGAGTAGAGATTTTGCAGTGTGGGGTGGGGAGTCTCTCAAACCTTCTTTGTGGATGCACTTGCTTAATTCCTCTAGTTCTTTCCTGGGTGGGGGAATGTCTTAGAGTTGTATTCCTTCTCTCAATCCCATAGAGCCATGCTGGGTGCTGAGAACCACAGCAAGTGTTAAATGTAATTCAGTCCTTTTCCCTAGGGCAGTGCCCTGAACTGCCAGGGCTTTGTGTGCCAGCTCCACTTCTCTCCCTCTCTTCTAAAGAGGTATTTTATGATTTTGCTCCTTCTATGTCACCTGTAGAGTCATGACAGCTACCCTAAGGGTCACCTTTCTCTTTTCCCTAAAGCAGTGCCCTGAGATTTTAGACCAGTGGGTATAAGCACCATTTTCCTCCCTCTTGAAAGCAAATTATTGTGTAGGAATTTACAGAGGAGTCTTTGCTTTCCCCGGCCCTCCACTCCATCTTCCCCTCCCAGCCCCTTTCCTTTCCCAGCTTTGATGGAGAAGCTTTCTTGTTATTTCCCCTTTGTGACTGAAGTTTTTTGCTTGGTTCATTGTTTTACTTAGATTTTTTTGTTTGTTTGTTTGTTTTTAACAGTTTTAAGGCTTTTCCCCCTTATCTCTGTAGGCTGGTAAATTAGAACATTCTGGAATACTAGGATTGGTGTGAAATGAATCAGGAATTTAGCTGTGATTATATTTGTAGTTCTATCCTTGTTTTTAGCCCCCCCCCCTTTCTTCCTCTCTCTCTTCCTGTCTTCCTTTCTGTTCTCATTCCCTCTCATTGTTGAAATATAGCGACCCAAAGTCTTTATCCTCTTATGTTCAGTGAGGTGATTTGTAGCAGGACGATATTTCAGGATACCTACTATACCATATGGTTGGAAATGGAAATCTTTTCCTGTATTTTTAAATGTCCTTTTTGTACTCCCACTGCCTGTGGCTTGCTTTTTTCAATTAGAAATATGCTACTTTAAAATTTTTTAATATACCTGTTTAAATCTCTCATAATTTCAAAACACAAATTACAGTTTGCCTTTAGCCTTCTTAAGAACCTAATTTTTCTAGGGCAAGTTTTAATTCTTGTGGAACAACCACCACTGCAGAGACATTCCTGAGTGAAGAGTAGACTCTTTTGTCTTTTGCCTCAGGATTGAAGTAATCCCCACAGTGCAAAGTTAAATTTTCCTGTCCTGAAGTGCTAGGATTCAGTATGTGCCTCTGAAATGGATTCTAACTTTCATAGAATTTAAACTGTTACATAAGCTTTTATTTTCCTCCTCTTGCCTTTGGTTCTGCTTTGAAACTGAGCTTTATCCAAAAAAAAGAAGAAGAAGAAATGAAAAAAAGGAAAGAAAGAAAGAAACCGAGCTTTATCTCATAGTTCTGTGCCCAGTTCACTGGCATGTGTGTATAGTATCCATGTTACAGTGTTCCCACCATGAGAATGACAGCTTTATGTTTCTGTTCAATCATTTTTTTATAGTTCTCCTTGGGGACCTTCTCATGAGATGTGATATCCTTTATTTCTTTTGCTCCCTGAGCACCAGTATCACTGGTCTTTTCTATGCAAACTCACAGTTCTTTCCATTTCATCCAAGATACCTTTGAGCTTTTGTCTCCTTCTTTGTTTCTTAATTCCATCCCCATTTGATGACCATAGTTATTTTCCCCAGAGATTTCCAAATATAGGTGCTAACTAAAGATTTCTAGAGGACTCTTGCTTACCGGTGTAATAATCTGTAACACCTACCTGGTAGATAGTAGCTCTCCCCCAGTGGTTAGTGGAGCTCTGGTTGGACTGTGGTCTTGGATAGCATATGATATGTGTTGCCTGTTGTAGAGCTCCCATGATGTTAAGTAGTTAATCACCTTCTAAGCTTGTTGGACAAATGTGTGACAAATATAAAAGCCTTTCTGGTCACCTTTATTCATTACCTAATGTGGCATGATCAGTGGAGCAGATTGTGGTATTTTAAAATAAGCTATTCAACCTGTCTCTTACAGAATTCATATATTTTACAGGCTGCTCATTGTTGAAATAATAATGCCTTCTTGTTCCAGTCCTCTGATTAATGACCAGTCATTGCAGAATGTATTCCTTCCATAGATGCTCAATCATTCTTTGAAGTATTCTGGGGGGTGGTGAAGGAAGGAGTATCATGGGCCAGGAACTCTGATGTTTATTCAGTCAGATTAATTCTTTATATCTTAGGCCAGATAATTAATTTATGGAGAGTTTCTATAATTATGATTTGTTCTTATATCATCCAAAGTGGTCAAAAATGTTTTACATTAAAATCCATAATTCTTACCCAACTCAGAGAATTTGTCATTTTCACCCTTTGGTACAAATAATTAACCCCATGTCAACCATGAACATACTAAATATAAAAACTTGAATGATTTAGCAATTTTTTGCCTTTTTATTTTTGTCAAAGAAGAGATCTATCCATATTCTTTTTACAGGGAAAATAAGAAACAGGAATCTGATTTATATGATCATTTTTGTTCCTATCATGTTTTCCCATATCCAGCATCGTTGATTTATTTATTTATTAATTATTTATTTGGAAGCTAAGTGATTATGATTATGTGTCCTGAAACTTTTAATTATGGCCTGGTATTTAAATATGGTTAATTAGAGAGCAGATTTATATCAAATTAATTAAGTACTTTCTTAAGCAAAATTTACATGTTTGACCAAATAAATCCCAACAAATTTACCAAGATGAATCAAAAGCAAAAGCACACTATTTAAACTATAAAAAGGTGGTAATTCACTGATAAAGTATATTTACTTTAAATGCAATATTTTGAAGAACATTTGTACTTATAATTTACTTATAATTTTCATGCAAGGAATGTAATTTGCAAGACATTTGAAGAAATCAGTAAGTTGAAGTATACCTTTAGTGGCTACAGATCGGCATTAGTCCATTCGTTAATGTTCCTCACTGCATTAGAAGTTAGAATGGTAAAACTGAGGAGAACTAACTGGCTTGTAGAGGGTTTGAACTCGTGGCCTTATCTCATGCTTTAACACTGAAAATCATAAGCCTCTTGTTAATTTTAGGAGTCAAGCCAGAATAATTATTACAAGTAGAAAGGTAATTAGTTATAGGTCAGAATGATGCCTTAATTATTTTATAAATTTAATTTTGGGAGCACGGAGCTGGAAATTTTAACATTTGCTGTATTTCCTCTTGTTTTTTTTATTTTTTATTATTTTTTAAAGATTTTATTTATTTATTTGACAGAGAGAGACAGCGAGAGAGGGAACACAAGCAGGGGGAGTGGGAGAGGGAGAAGCAGGCTTCCCGCTGAGCAGGGAGCCTGATGGGGGCTCAGTCCCAGGATCCTGGGATCATGACCTGAGCCGAAGGCAGACGCTTAATAATTGAGCCACCCAGGCGCCCCATTTCCTCTTGTTTTTAAACCTAATTTTTCTTTGTGGAAAGAGTGGAGGGTATGCCTTTTTAAGGGATATGCTTTTAAAGTTACTTAAAATACATGTTTTTAAGCACATGGAATACATTTCTTAGAGTATGTTTAATTTCAAAGAGCTATTTTGATTTTGCTCATATGCCCATCCATATATTATCAAAATCCAAAGGGACCAAAATGTTGGTTATGTATCTGAATGGTTTCTCTGGGTTGTATTTGAAGTACATTTGGAAATTTGATGTTTATAGGTGACATCTTTTAATTTTACATGTTTTATATCCATTGAATATAAGAATAAGGGCCTCAAAAATTTGTTTTCACTGCTTCTAAGTACATAAGCACCCTTACTTGTTCCATAATTACATTTATTTCTGATAATAATTTTCTCATATTTCAATTTTAGGCTAAAAATCTTATAGAGAGATTTTTTAATCAACAAATAGAAGTTCTAGGCAGACGTGCAGAGCCATTGCCTGAAATATACTATATTGAAGGTACTCTTCAAATGGTTTGGATTAATCGCTGCTTTCCAGGGTATGGAATGAATACCCTGAAACATCCAAAATGTCCTGAATGCTGTGGTATGTAATGAACTGTAATTCCATGGTTTATATTTATGAAAATTCACTTTTCATGATACCTAAGTGAATGCCTATTATTTATTTTTACTATTATTTGGATATATCTCTAGCTTATTTGAAGCAGTCTGTGAAAAGACTATGTGAATCTGAAGATCTAAAAGAAAAAAAGCTGGCTTAATTTCAGCCTTTGTATTAATATTACAGTAAAGGGGTTGTAGTGTTAGGCAGTCCTCTGGGAGGAAATGCAAAGAACAGGTGTGAGTCAGTTAGAGCTACTTACCCTAACAGGAGCCCAATGATGTATTGTTTTGAATCAGTTATTGATGATTTTACATTTGTATAGTCTAGACTAGGTAGAGTTTTACCCTTTTGTAAATTAAGTATATGAATTATTTTATTACCAGTTGTTTTTTCTGACTTGATTCTAGCTCTCAGGGGTCTGAGCACTCTCTGGCTTTCATCCGTCTTTTCCTTATAACAGAAGAGTTCTAAGGCTGTTTAGGATGAGTTAATTCATGGATTCAATGTCTTTGAATTTCTGTTTTCAAAAGTTGAATGAGGCATATAATCTTCAGTTTTATTTTTTTATTATGTTCAGTTAGCCACTGTATAGTACATCATTAATTTTTGATATAGTGTTCAGTGATTCATTAGTTGCATATAACACCAGTGCTCATGACAACACCTGCCCTCCTTGATACCCATCACCCTGCTACCCCATCTCCCCCCCCCCGAATCTTCAGTTTTAAAGGGCTTTCTAATATCAACATCAGTAAATTAGTACCATTGTCATTCAGTCTTCTCCTGATTGTTCTTTTCTTCTCTCTTTCTATAATCTTAAGTTAGATAAAAATCCTTTTCATATAATAGAGCACTAAATATTCTTTTGCTTTGGGCGCCTGGGTGGCTCAGTTGGTTAAGCGACTGCCTTTGGCTCAGGTCATGATCCTGGATTCCCGGGCTCAAGTCCCATATCAGGCTCCCTGCTCAGCGGGGAGTCTGCTTCTCCCTCTAACCCTCCCTCCTTTCATGTGCTCTCTCTCTCTCATTCTCTCTCTCAAATAAATAAATAAAATCTTTAAAAAAATAAATAAATAAATATTCTTTTGCTTTGCTTTATTTAATTGGCTAGACTTTACTTTTGGGTTTTTTTTCTGACTTAGTTTTTGTTAAAGGTTGTGAAATTTGACAAAATGTACTTGAAAACTTAGGAAATATGACACAGATGTAACAAACAAAACACTTACACAGGTCAACTTTGTAACTATTTTGATGATCTGTGATTATGTAGATTACTTCAGAGCACAGCTAATGATGAAGAAAGCCTGGAAAACCAAACAGTGAAACCAGAACCTGGTAGTTTAGCTGTCTATTAAATGAATTTATATTTTCACTTAATAAAGACCTAAGATAAAGTAAAAAGTTTAAATGTTTCTATCTCATTAATTCCAAGAATTTTGAAATAGTTAAGCGTAGCTCTTTCAAGTGAAACAAAAGGGTTCAATCTCTGAGAAACACAAAACTTTTAGTACTAAAATGTTTTTGCATTTATAAAATTTTGGATAATAATACAGTTGTCAGATTCTCTCATTTTACCATGTAATTATAACATTCAGTTTGTTATGCATTGTACTGTTTGTTGAAGTTATTAAGCAGTTATTTTAACTCCTGACAACAGACCCCATGGGGAGTATGTGATGAAACTTACAAATCTCAAAAATATTTTCTGCCTACTATTTTGCTTTCCCCGAAACATGGCCTCTGCCCACAGAGTTTAGAGACAGGGGAGATGCATCCATGGAACAGTTAGGGAACAAGAGGTCTGATAAGCCACAGGAAAGAGAGTGAAAAGGACATGATATTAAGGAAACTGAGTTACAGATGGCTTGGGTCTCAGGGGGCGTGGTTGAGATACCGCCTTTGAGGTGATGTTGGACTTGAGGTAGGACTTTGAAGATGCAGGGGTAGCAGTTACTCTCCAAGCTGGGGCTGGAAGCAGCATCAGGTTTCTGGGAGAGTTTTGCATAACCTGGGCTAGAGGAGTAGTATCAGAAGAGCTGTGGGCTTAGCGGGGTTTAGAGAGCAAAGTGGAATAGCTCAACTTCAGTGTGGCAGCAAGAGTCATATCTTTGAGCAGAGGACAGAAATTTATTTTTTGAATTTTATGGAATCATTATCATTGCTCAGTATATACTTATTAACTAGAAATTTGCTAAATTTCATCTTATGCCATCATACAGTAAATAATTTAGAATTACCTTTGTGCTGTTACCATCTGTTAGACGAACGAAGCAAGACTGAGCTTGCTTTTTGAACAGAACTCAGTCTAATGTGACCATCCTATACGGTGGTTTTTGTCTATATTACACAAGACCATCACTCCAGAATTTTGAGAGAGCACATACTACTCAAAAAGACATTTAAATCATTCTTTGAATTGGAAGGCAGAATAAAATATAACACTAGTTACAAGACAAAATTAACATATTAAATGAACTTCATTTGAGTATAAAATGGAATACTAGAAAGAAGCAAATAAAACACACGAGGTACTTTGTAAAACCACTTATTTCCAAAACGAAGACACCACGAGTTTATGTTTAACAAAGGAGATTGACTGGGACATAAATGTTCATTATATGAGAGAAGGTTATTTACTTTCTCAGGAGTCAGTAAGGTGAGGAGTGGGTGTTTCTTTTTGATGTCTTTCTTTACTCATGCAATTTTACTTGTAGATGACAGGTAAAGATTGCTTGCTTATCAACTAGTGGAGACAACATTTCTACCTGTGTTCTTCCTCATTTCTAATTTGTTTAGCATTTTAAATTAATTTTCACTGTAAAATACTCTAATTTCACATTTAGCATTGCTTATTATATGCATGATTTTATTAATCATTTTGGCACTGAAAAAGAAGATTCTGATTAAATTGTGAATTATAGATGTCTCATAATTTCATAAATTATATCATAAAGATAATACAAAACCAAAGACCAGCTAGAGTATTATATTGTTTTCTGATAGAATTTTTTTTAAAACACAGATTCTGAAATATGATTTCCTGGTAATTTCTGTAGTTTCTGTTATTTCTGTAAAACTCTGTATGTCTTGGTTTTTATCTTCATTTTATTCTTACCACCTCAAAAAAAAAACCCACTTGTATGTTAAATAACATTTTTTGACATAATATCCCACATCACCTTCTTTTTCTTCCTCTTAAAATTATGGCAGTGGTTTTAAAACTCTGATGTGTACCAAAATTACCCAAAGATTTTTTTCAAAAACAAATCAAGGTATGGGAAGCAGACATCTGCATCTGTCACAAGCTTTCTAGGTGATTCTGATGCATGTGGAAGTTAGAGATTCCTGAGTGTTAGCATCGGTGTGGCAATAGCTGGTAAAATGCTTGCCTGTTCGTGTTTGTATGGTAATACCTCAGGGAAGTGCTTGAATAGTAGCATTGGTAAGGCAGTGCCTAGATAGGATAACTTTCCTTCTACTGCGGCAACATTATTTTTCATGGATTGTTGAGGATGGAATCTATAGTTCAGTAATAGTTTATGCAATATTGTTAATTTCTGTTGCTTTCTTTATACTTAAGATTTGCTGTTGTACATTCAAACTTTTGGGAATCCCAGGAAGACTCAAGCAAGGAGCTCTTTGATAGTGATATAGTGTCTGTGTGAGTGGTCAGAAATCATTAGGTTACAGGTTGGAGTATTGAAACATCTTGAGATGACTTTATTAATAAGGTGAATTTAGTAATAAATTCCTTGTGTAGCTTTATACTTTATGCAGTGAAAGTGAATTGTTTAATAGATAGAGTTGTTTTTAATAAGATCTTTTAGACTCTGAAATTTATTCTGCTCAGACATGCAAACCCTCAACCTTTGTTTTAATTTTAAATCCAAAAACCAAGAAAAATAATGATTAAAAAAAGCTGATACTGACAAAACACAATTGAAGGCAAGAAGTCTTACCATATACACAGAGGGCATTACATGATGATAAAAGGACGAATCTACAAAAGAAGGTACATATTATTACTAAATTTGTGAATACTTAATAAATAACATAGGTTTTAAATACGTAAAACAAACATTGTCAGAGAGGTAATACTGGAATGCCAAGCCATACAGAAAAACAATGAAATTGGGCCCAGTCAAAAAAATCACCTCCAGATGTTATAGACATAAACGCATAAAGAAAAACTGTAAATATTTTAGAATATGATGTGGGAAAATATCATCATGTCTTTAGGATCAGAAAAACCATTTCCCAAAACACAAAAATCACTAACTTTAATAAAAAATGACTGATATTTTTTCTATTAAATTAATTACTTCTGTTTATCAAGACAATGCAGAGAAAAGATAATCCACAGAATGAGAAAATTATTTGTAGTGGATATAACCAACAAAAGACTAGTATCCAGAACATATAAAGAATCTGTAAAAAACATTTTTTAAAAAAGCCAAAACAATTTTTAAAATTGGGAAAAGATTTGAACAAGTGTACTTCACAAAAGAGTAATTCCAGACAATCAATGGATAGGTAAAAATATGTTCGAACTTTTTGTAATCGGAGAAATGGAAATTAAAAACAGACTGAGATCCTACTGCACAACTGTGAAATTGGCAGAAAGTAAACAGTCATGACCAACTAGGTGTTGAAAAGGGTGCAGAGCCCCCCGGGAGCAGCCAGCCACAGCCTGCCTGCCTGAGTGGAGATCCAGCCACTTTGGAACACAGCTTGGCCGTGCAGTAAATGTGCAGTGCACACTGTGACTAGCATTTGACTCTTAGGGAAATTTCATCTTTGCATATTTCCTAATAGCCCCAAACCAGGGACAACCCAAATGTCCTTTAATGGTAAAACACATGAAGAAACAGTGATCTGTTCATACAATGGAATGCTTTACAGGAATGACAGTGAATGGGTAGGGATCACAATCATATGGGTACATTTTATAAACACAGCTTCTGGGAAAGAAGTGAACC